ATATACATATATAAAAATATATATATATATATATTTATATATATTAATAAATTTTATATATATAATTATTAATTTTTTAAATATATTTATTATATAGAATATTTTTTTATATATATACATATATATACACAAATATAATTTTTTTATATATATATATTTATAATTTTTATAAACTTATATTATTATTTTATTAATTATAAATTTTAACATATTTTTTATTAACTAAATTATTTATATCTATTATATATATTGTTAATTAAATCTATAAATAATTTATTTTAAGTTATTTTTATTTTTATTTTAATTTAAAAATTAATAAAATGTTTTAAAATCTATTAATTATATAATAAATATAATTTTAAATATTTATAATATTATTATTTTTAATATATTTATATAAATATATTTTTATTTACATGCGTATCTTATATATTTTTTTATTTTTTTTATATATTATTACTATTTTTATTCTTTTTTATTTATTCTTTATTTTTTTATTTTTATAAGAATATTAAAAAAAAATATTTTTCAAAAACTTATATATTAATAATTAGAAAAACTTAATATAGAATGGATAAAATTACTAAATTTTTATTTAAACCTACAATTCCAGTTATAAATATATATGGATCAATTACTTCCAAATCGTAAAATTAATAAAATAAAATTGCATACATAATTAAATATTTTTATTAGTGTTGATGAGTTGTAAAGAAATTTGAAGCAGGTTAGATATACTACTGCGAAAGCATTAGCAATTGTTATAAATAGCCCAGGTTATTTTAAAAAAATATCTATATATAAAATTAAATATCAATAAATAGGTGGTTCTCTTACATAAAGTTAAAAAATTATAAGCATACTACATAACTATTCTCATGACCATCATCTTCCAATTTATACTTTTGCAGAAGATTAAGCTTTAAGTTCTGCTTATTAAATTCTTATTTCCTCTGGAAAAAAAAATTTTTGCGCATATCAATCATTAGTAGGATCTGTCGGAGTAGTTTCAAAACTTTTATGTTTTAAATAATTATTTGAAAACTTTGGATTTGAATCTAGAAAAATCACTTCTGATGAAAATTCTTTGAGTAATATGGGATATTTATAGGATATATAAGAAAACTAAAAATAATAGCTATTTCGTATTGCTGAAAATTAACATAAACAATTTGTCGAAATAATAGAAAAAACTAGAGGACATTATCTAAAAGTATATTTTAATTTAATAAATAAAAATGTTTTTTATAAATTTAGGTCCCTGAAAATAAGAGATAATAAAAAATTTATAACGGTGAAGTTTTTGCAGGAGAATAAGCAGTTTAGTTAGGGTATTTTATTAAATAATTTATTTTTAATATTGCTACATTATTATTTATTTTTAAATATAAATTTTATATATAGATTAGTTGATTAAATTGGTTAAGTTTAAGATGTTATGAAAAAAGATTTTCCAAAAGCTAGCTTAGTTTATATCGGAGGTGTTAATGAGTCTTTAGATAATAATTAATATTTTAAATTACTAAGCATATTTTCAAAGCAATAAACAAACTTAAATTGATATTTATTTAATTTTTCAAATAAATAAAAAAGTTATAAATTAAAAATAATAAATACATTATAAATAAAAAATAATTAAATAAAAAAAATATTTAATTAACTTTAAAATAAATAATTATATATATATATACTTTTATCAATTATAATATTACAAATTATTAATAATTATATGATTTTTAGATTTTTATCTTTATTATAACAAATGCTAATTTTTATAATTCTCAATTATTTATGTTGAATTATATAAAAATAAAGGAGAAAATATAATAATTTTATGTTTTTAATTTTTTTGTTCAATATAATTATTCTAATAAATCCAATAAAATCTGAGTTATTAATATTATAAAATCTATTTTAGGACGTTACTATTGGTGTGGATTTACACATTTTAACATCAAAACTTTAAGAATTTTCATTATTTTATTAATAGCGAATTCTTTAACATTAATATCAGTATATAATAATTTATAAGATTTATTAACTAATTTTCCAATTATTTTATTCTAACTAATTTTTTAAATTCTATAAGTTTTTATCAAAAATAAGTTCACTAATTATAGATCCTATAGAATAAATATCTGAATTTTCACTATATTATTCACCACCCTGTTCATTACCTATAGTTTCTATCGGAGAATAAGGTATTGTCCTTCCAGGTTTAAACTTTTCTTTAAATTATTATTAAATAATTTTGCAATAGCTTTCACCAAAATCACATATTTTTATAAATAATTATTAATCTTTGAAAAAAAATATTTAAAAATATTAAAGATAAAATATTTGTAAAATACCAATTAAAATATTTCCTGGTTTCAAATCCAAATGATAAATTGAATTTTGTTGCAAAAACTTAACTCCATAACTAATTTATAAAATAAAAAATAGTCTTGTATTTAAAGACATAATAGAGTTATGAAAATAATTGTAGGTTCCTAAATTTTACTAATATAATTCCATAAAAAGGCTATCAGGATGTTATTATGAATAAAAATATTTAGTAATAAATTAGCATTTTTTTTTAATACTTTTTAAAATCTTTAGTTCTTTATTTATTTTTGAATGTTATTATTATTATTGTTATTATTATTATTATTATTATTATTATTATTATTATTATTTTTAGTTATCATCTCCCATTTTTTTTTCTAATTTTAATGCTATTTAATTAAATTACCCATCAAAATTGAATATATTTTTATAAAATTCTTAATTTTCTTTTTCTTTTAATTTAAATTTTGCTTCTATAGAATATATATCTGAAAAACCTCCACTATTTATTTATTTTTTCTTATTTTCATCAAATTCTATAATCTCTAATTCTTCTAAAACGCCTTACTAATCATTGTTTTTATTTTTATATTATATTTCTGGAATATTCATATATTATTTTAAATTTTCAATTTCTTCTTAATTAAATCTCTTTTAAAATTATTATTCTAGCATTAATTTATTTATTCCTTGTTAAAAAGTGCAATTTTCAAGTAAATAAATGCAATTATTTAATTTTTTAATTAGATCTTTTGGTAATTATTTATAATTATTTTTCTTCTCATTATCTATAGATAATATTTATTCGATTTGTTAATACATAGGAATAGTTATTAGCCCTATTTTCAATGCCAAACTTAAAAAATAGAAATTTATCATATAATAGCAACTTGAAAATATCTATCTAATAATTCTTAACAAAAATAAATTTAAGTCATTATTCGAATAGTTTTATTAAAAAGTGTATGTTGAATAAGGAAATGTTAATTATCCTGATGCCGGATTTATAACAAATCCTCCTATTTTAAAATTTTTCTTAGAAAAGAAACGACTTACTTGATTTCGGCTTAATTAATCATTAATTATAATTGGCTAATAATTTTATTTACAAAAATGAATTGTAAATTTCATTTAATTTTATTTTAATTTTATCACACATATATTTATAAAATTATCATAATGTTACATTAACTTTAACACAATTATTAATTAGTAAGTTATTTCATCTTAATTGCTATATTTTTTATTAAATATAAATAGATTTTTTTAAAATAAACTTTGTTTTTGATAATGATTCTATATGAAATATATTAGTGTTTTAATTATCTTTATTAAAAATTTAATGAATTGCTTTCTCTGTTTATATTAATCTATCTTTAAGTAATTTTTATTATTTTTCTTTTCTTTGCAATTATTTTAATTGCTCATTTGTAAATTAATGGTTAAGTTTATTTTATTCATTTTAATTTTCATCATTAATTTACATTTTGCTATTTTTTTTTGTTTATTTATTTCAATAATAAAATTAATATATTCTTAAATGATAAAGATATTAAAAAAAATATTTGGAATATATATAATATAAAACAATTATTAAAAATTTTAATATATAAATTTGATTTATATAAAATGAAATATTTTAGGTTTTTTATTTTTAACTTTTTATTTTAGTATTAAATTAAATTATTAAACAATATTTTTTTGTTTGATAAAATATAAAAATATTCTTAATAAATAAAAGAATATTAAAAATTTTAATCAAAATAATATATAAATTATATTTCATATAAAATTAATTTATTTTTATGTCAATTTTTATAAAGATAATTAAAAAATAAATATTAATTAATTTTATATATTATAATAAGATACTTAATTTAATTATTATAAATTATACAATTTATTATAAATATAATTTATTTAAATTTTTTATTTAAATAATTATTTTTATTTTTATATTTTTTTATTGTAAATTAATATAATCGAAATTCAAAATTTATTATTAATAATATTAAAAACAATTTTTAATAAAATATTTTTTTAATAGCTATAAAAATTAATAAAATTATCTAAGTTTTGTTTTAAATAAATTAAATTATAAATTTTATGTAAAATAACTAATTTTACAAAACTAAATATTTATTAAGAGAAAATAATAAAAAACAGCTTTAATTAAAAACAATTTTTAAATAATGCTATTAAAAAAAATATTTATTATTATTTTTTAATTAATAAAATAAAAAAAATAAAGAAAAATATTTATACATAAAATTTTCAAAAAAATAAATATTTTTATAAAAATTTAAAATAAAATTCACATAATAATACTGTATCATATATATATATATATATTTAAATGGGATGTATTTATGCCAAATAGAATAAATAATTAATACAAAGATTACAAGAGAAAGAAAAAAAT